ACTTCCTCATGTTGATGGTGTGTTATGGTTCAGTAGGAGAAAGTCCTGTTTATAGAAAATTCACACTAAAGTACTTGGGGCTAAGCATCAGGTTGGCAACTTACTTTCAAATGGCTCAGAGAAAAATATGTTCTTTGTACAGGACTTCCAAATTTTCTGTAAGTTGGTGATTGTTTTAAAAAACAGACCCAACTCAGCACTGATCTCAAGTCTAGTAGACAGTCAAGAGCAGGTTATAATTTGAGGAGCTGCGCACAGCCATCAGCCAGTTTCCACATGTGCTTATCACTCCATTTCATCCTCTTTAGAATAGTCAACATTATTTTGTAGCCATTTCCCATGTTATCTTTAAACTATAAATTCTATAAAGTTCCAAGGACCAATCTATTTTACTCACCAGCATTTATCCAATGACCAGAACAGTCCTTGTGACAAAGTAGGCACTCAATAAGTATGTGCTGATTGAATGAATGAAGGTGACTTGAAATAGAGGCACCAGCATGGCCTTTGGAGCTAGAACTGGGCACCACTCCCATCTCTCCCACTTCCCATGTGTCCTCTGCACCACATGCATCAACTTCTTAGCCCAGCTGAAGAAGAGCCAGGCTTTCTAGATTTGAATCCTGACTCGACTACTTCCCAGTTATGTGGTCTTGGGCGAGTTCCTTCAGTTTCCTCATCTATAAAACGGGAATTGTAATAGCTTGTATACTTCATAGGGATGTGTGGCATGTTGTAAGTGCTTATGAATTATCTGGGCTTGATTTCCCAGCTCTTCAAAGAGAATATTACTTGCAAGATTGTTGTGAGACTTAAAGGACCCTCCATAAATAGCGGTTATCATGATTCCATTTAATGATAATTTCTATGATCTAATTACAACTTTATGAAGTAGGGAAAGCATCCCTATTTTGTTAAAAATGCGTAAATTGAGTGATACATTCAAGTTCAACACTAGCAAGGAGAGGGTCTAACTCAGACACAAACAAATGTCTCCAGAACCAAGACCCAAGACTGTGGCCCTTTTCCCCATATCACAAATTCCCTTACAGGTCTGAAAAGGCTCCCTGTTAAACTGAAGATGTTCTTGGGAAGGACTGCACTGAAAGCTTTATTCCCTTAATGAAAGACACCACGCGGCAGTAGTTTTTAACATAGTGTGCAGCAGAAGCACACGGAAGAATTGTTAAAACACAGGTTATCAGCCAGGCGCGGTGGCTCATGCCTGTAATCTCAGCGCTTTGGGAAGCTGAGGCGGGTGGATCGCGAGGTCAAGAGTTCAAGACCAGCCTGACCAACATGGTGAAACCCCATCTCTACTAAAAATACAAAAATTAGATGGGCGTGGTGGCATGCGCCTGTAATCCCAGCTACTCAGGAGGCTGAGGCAGGAGAATCACTTGAACCCAGGTGGCAGAGTTTGCAGTGAGCCAAGGTTGCGCCATTGCATGTCGGCCTGGCCGATAGAGCAAGACTCCATCTCAAAAAAAAAAAAAAAAAGAAAAAAGAAAAAAAATAGTTATTGGCCCCACCCCCAGAATTTCAGATTCAGTAAGTATGGGTTGAGCTGGAAAATCTTGAGAACCACTCCCCTAAGGGGAAGTAGCTGAAAGCTTAGAAAGCAGGAAATGGTACGGGCAGGAGACAGGGGAGATCTGGGGAAAGCCAGGGAGGCAGGAAGGGGCAGCTTTAAGAGTCAGCCAGAGAGGTGAGGCCTCTGCCAGATGGAAGAAAAAGTGCCAGATCAGACAGTAGCTGAATCTCCGTCTTTGGCAAATTACTTTTTCTGAGATAAAAGGAGTAATTCTTTTAAAAACAGAAGCTACCACAGCTCACCCCATGTGAAATAATTTGAGTACCCCTGTAACTGTTTCAAAAATTGGATTAATAGCTGGGCACTGTGGGTCACACCTGTAATCCCAGCACTTTGGGAGGCTGAGGCGGGTGGATCATGAGGTCAGGCGTTCGAGACCAGCCTAGCCAACTTCGTGAAACCCTGTGTCTACTAAAAATACAAAAAATTAGCCAGGTGTGGTGGCAGGCACCTATAATCCCAACTACTTGGGAGGCTGAGGCAGGAGAATTGCTTGAACCTGGGAGACGGAGGTTGCAGTGGGCCAAGATTGCGCCACTGCACTCTAACCTGCGTTCCAGTGTGAGACTCCGTCTCAAAAAAAAAAAAAAAATCATAATTTTAAAACTTCCAAAAAAAAACTTCAGGGCCCAGATAGTTTCACTGGAGAATTCTACCAAAAGTGTGAAGAACACCAAATCTATAGTCTTTTTCAGAATACACAGTAGGGGAATGTTTCCCCATTCATTTTATGAACCCTGACACCAAAACCAGATGAAGACGGTTTTAAAGAAAGACAACTGCATACCAACATGTCCCAAAAATACAGACATAGAAATCCTTATTAAAATAATAGTAAATAGGAATCTGCAATATATAGAAAGAATTGTATACCATGAGCAGGTGGGATGCAGTATTTGAAAACAATGTGCTCCAACATGTTGACAGGCAGTGGGTGGTGACCGCAAGGGGGCTCCACCGAGCAGTAATCAATGACCTGGGATGAAAGTGGGGCCAAACAAATCTGGAGAAGCAGAAAAATTGGATTCTATACACATGGCTTTGGTTCAAAAAAAATAAAGCTTTATACTCCACACAAACGTGGTGGCTGTTAGGTTGTACACCTAATGCTTGACAGAAAGGGCCACCGGAAGTGCAGGGACAAACAGGAGCAAGGTTACCTTGAGGCTCCAGGTGCTAAGAGGGACAGTCCAAGCAGAAAACCCATTCCCCAAAGTCACTGTCATCCCTAGAGCAGGGTGCAGGGGCAGAGAAGGACAGGAGACCCTCCAGTCAAGAAGTTGACAGCCAAAAGCTGGGGAAACCCATCCTGGAAGTTTTGCTTAGGGGCTCTGAGTTTAAACTTTGAACCACATCCTTACAAATTTGTATTTGAATTTGAAAACACTGACCTGACGCCTTTTAAAACCTATACCAAAGGTGGGGATAGGGTTTGATGACTAATCAAGTTCATCTCTCTGAAGTACTTGAACTAGCAAACCCTCTGTCCGCGACATATCTCCCGCAATGGAAAGGCTCGTGGCTGCCTCTGCTGTTCAGGACAGTAAGGATTTTGGCTCTCTGCCTTGCCCGCATGGCCACAGCACTCACCGTTCTGAGTCCTAGTCCGAGCTGACAGCGTCTTCCTGTCCTACTGAGATAAAGCTCCAGCTGAAAGCTTGCTCTTGCTCTGAAATCTGCAGAAGTCCTGGGGAGTTCATCTCCTGAGACCAGCCCTTAGTCAATGAAGGATGCCAGTCAGAAGATAAAAACCCCAGGGTTCGTGCCAGTGGGAGGTATGGCTGGGGCTGTTCTTCACAAACTGTAACGTGCTCGTGAATCACCTAGGAATCTTAATAAAATTCAGACTCTAATTCAGTAGGTCTGAGTTGGAGCCTGAAATTCTGCATTTATAATTCTTTCTTTTTCTTTTCTTTTCTTTTTTTTTTTTTTTTTCTTTTTTGAGACAGGGTCTCACTCTGTCACTCAGGTTGAAGTGCAGTGGCCCAATCACAGCTCACTGCAGCCTTGACCTGCTGGGCTCAAACAATCCTCCCACCTCAGTCTCCTGAGTAGCTGGGACTGCAGGCATGTGTTACCTTTCCCGGCTAATTTTTAATTTTTTTTTTAATAGAGACAGGCTGGTCTCAAACTCCTAGGAAGAAGTGATCCTCCTGCCTCTGCCTCTCAGAGTGCTGGGATTACAAGCATGAGCCAACACCCCCGGCCTGAGATTCTGCATTTTTTAAGAGGATCCCAGGTGAGGCTGAGGCTGCTTACCTGGAGACTACACTTTGATGCCCCTAGCGGTGCTTTCTGCAATTTCCTCCCAAATAACCTGCCTGCTCTCAAATCCTTGTCAGTGGCTCCGTTTCTGGAGAAAGCATTTTTTTTCTGTCTTTCTACTTATATTCCAGGTTCCTTGTTCTTAATTTTCACCAAGACCAGCTACCTTACAATGTGACCCAAGGAAATCACTTCATTTCCTCATCTCTAGAATAAGAGTTTAGACTGTCCAGTTCCCCTTCCCACTCCAGCATTTTAAAGATTTTCTCATTATTCTAGTGATTATGGAACTTCCCACACTTTTTTGGATCAGCTTTCCAGCTCCTGCGTACAAACTGTTAAAATCAGACTGGCTTCACATTCTACTCATCTTCAAAAAATGTCTCTAAACACAAATGAAATTCGAAGACCTTTATTCAAGCATAATAGTAAAAATCCTTGATATCAGAGAGAAACAGATAACAAATGTTCATGCATGCAGATGACATTTTCATTGTAAAAGGAAGAAAGGGACCATTCAGAAAAACAAGAATAGTAGTTCCAGCACGAGGCTATTAAAATTAGTATGAAACCAACAAAAGATATGAAACCATAATCTGAAGACATCTAGACAGGAGGTAATAAAGATAAGAAAACACAACCGTGAATATGTATACCGTGTCTGCTTTTTAAGCAAACATCTCTAGACAAACATACAAACATACACATGCTGTCCCTTTCAAGAAAATCATGTTGGAAACCCACTCTCTTACACTTATGCTTAAACATTTTTGAAATTTCTTCTTTTTTTTTTTTTTTTTTTTTTTTTGAGACTCAGCTCACTGCAACCTCTGCCTTTTTGGCTCAAGTGATCCTCCTCCCTCAGCCTCCCGAATAGCTGAGACCACAGGCACACACTACCACACCCAACTAATTCTTCGTATTTTTGGTAGAGAGAGGGTTTCACCATGTTGCTCAGGCTGGTCTTGAACTCCTGAGCTCAAGCAATTTTACCTAACCTCAGCCTCCCAAAATGCTGGGATTATAGGCATGAACCACCACACCTGGCCTGAAATTTCTTTAGTTTATAAGAAACTAAGTATACAAGTATACACATAATTCAATATCACCACTTTAGTCACCACTTTTTTACCCAAAATAATACAACCGAGCCTAAATGCAAACTTTATTTCCAGTAATTTAATAAACTTCCCAAATATTAATACAGTTCACTCAGGTAACTGTCAGCTATTGCTGCATAACAGACAACCCCCAAAATCACAGTGGCACACAAAAATAAGTAGTTATGTGTCATTCAAGAGTCTTCATGTCTGCTGGGTTGCTCTGCTTCAGGAGGTGAGTCCTCGGGTTGGCTGAGATGCCTCTGCAATACGTGAATTCAGTCTGGTACCCAGATGCTAATAGGCAGCTATGTGACCTCACGGCAGAGGTCAGATGTTCCTGAGAACAGAAACACAGGGTGATTCTAAAGGCAAGACTGGTGGTAGTTATACTGCTATCTCTCCACATTCCATTCTAAAGCAAGTCACATAGCCAAGTCCAAGATCAATAAATGGCTCTCACAGAGTTATTGGTATATGGAGTGAATATATGATGAATATCAATTCTTAAATTATGATGATTTATCCATATGGAAGTCATTAAAAAGAAGGCATTTTTCCAAGGAGGGGTGCCAAAAGCGATGTGAGTAATAACGTTATTGAAATAAGTGTATAGCTACATAATGGGACCATCTTGGAGGCACAAATTTTTGTTTTTAAAAGTTATTTTACTGCCTTTTATATAAGTCAAACTTCATGCTTGCCTCAGTGAAAGCATTCAATTCCTATTTATGATTGGATTGTCCTGAAACCTATACAGGGAGGCTCCCAAAAGATATCAAGTCAACATTTCCTTATTTCCCCTCTTTCATTAAAAACAAAACAAAATATTTTTAAAAGGAAACAAAAATACCACAATCTCCATTCTGATGTCACCATGCTGAGGCTTGGCAAGTCAAAAGTATAACGATGAAAAGGCACCACCAATTCGTGCGAGTCGGCTAGGCTTCTCGGTGCTATTCCAGATAGTCAGGAGCCCTGGGTTCCAGCCAAGGTGATCCAGGTCGCTTAGCGGCTCCTATCACCTCACCTGCTTGCTCCCCTTCTCCGGGTTTCCAGTTCTGCATCGTAAATGTGCTCCCTGGCGCAGCCTCCCCTGACACTCAGACATCCACCAATCCGTTAGATGCTGGAGGTTTTCCGGAGACACTGTGTCCCTAATGAGGACTGCTTTGTACAGTCACTGATAGCAGCTCTAGAAAGTGTAACAGCTTTTTTATCTCAAAAGATGTTCCTCGTGCTCTGGCCCTAGGGGAGCCGCCTTCCAGACCTGTCTACCCGGGAGCCCCCACCCCGCGCACTTCCCGGACTTCTCCCGAGACCCGAGAGCGCTGACTTCCCCCACTCGCAATAGTCCTGGGGGTGACACTGAGGGCCCCCTCACTTGCAGCCCCCACCTCCCTGCGGCCGGAGGGTCAGAGGTTCGCGGCCCGGGCAGGCAGCGCCAGCGCCCTTTGGAGCTGGGCGGGGCGGGCAGAGCGGGCACGGCCGGGCGTCGGGGCCACAGGCATTGCACTCTAGCCCTGGCCATGGAGCGGCCGGCATCAGGCGAGGTGCTCATGAGCCAGGCCATCCAGCCGGCGCACGCCACCGCCCGCGGTGAGCTGAGCGCCGGGCAGCTGCTCAAGTGGATCGACACTACCGCCTGCCTGGCGGGTAGGCGGGCGCCGGGGCTGCGGGAGCGGCGGCGGCTGGGGGTGGCGGGGAGGAGGAAGGCGAGGAAGGTACTTGCGGACAGCTGAGCCCTGAGCAGCCAGGGGTAGGGGTGTTGCGACAGTGCGCCCGAGCTGGGCATGGCCGAGACCAATGGTTCCCAAATGTGTGGCTCTCAGGACTCCTTCATTCCATTAAATAAGTGAGGAGCCCAGAGAGCTTTTGTGGGGTTTTTTGTTTGTTGTTGTTTTTGAGACAAGGTCTCACTCTTGCCCGGGCTGGAGTGCGGTGGTGCCATCAGAGCTCGCTGCAGCCTCGACGCCCTGAGCTAAAGCAATCCTCCCACCTCAGCCTCCAGAGTAACTGGGACCACAGACGCACGCCACCAGGCCCAGCTAATTTGGGGGGTTTTGTTTTGTTTTGCTTTTGTAGAGATGGGGGTCTCACTATGTTGCCCAGGCTGGTCTCAAACTCCTGGACTCAAGGATCCCGAAGTGTTGGGATTACAGGTGTGAGCCACCGCACCCAGCCAGCTTTTGTTTATGTAGGCTATTTATATCACATTTACTGTAACAGAAATTTAAAATTTTTAAATTATTTTTAAAAAAGAAATGGACTACATGTTGACATAACATTTTTAATTAAAGAAATAACTATTTTCCACAAGAACAAAAGTGTAGCTAGAGGAGTGGTGACAGGTTACATCCTGGCGAGTCTCTCTAAAGTCTGACTAACAGAGGACTGCTGACTTCTCATACCTGCTTCTGCATTCACCGTGCTGCTAGCACACCCTTACGTAGTCTCTGGAAAACACTGTGTCCTTGTTAGAGAATGACAGTAAAAATGGCAAAAACATTTATTAAGGACTGAATTATGCCCCCCATGCCACCCACCGAAATTTATACATTGAAGTCCTAAGCCCTGGTGTGGCTCTATTTGGAGTGAAGAATTAAGGCTAATGAGGTCATAAGAGTGGAATTCTGGTCCCATACAATTAATGTCCTTATAAGAAGAGACACTGGAGAGCTTCGTCTCTCTGCCATGTGAGGCCACAGCAGGAAGACAGCCACCCACAGGCCAGGAAGAGAGCCCTCGCTAGGACCTACACGGGCAAGCACCTCGATCTGGAACCTCCCTGCCTCCACAACTGTGAGAAATCAATGACTTGTTTAAGCCTTTTTTTTTTTTTTTAAACAGGATTTGAGATTGGTTATATTAAGGTAACAATGGAAGCATGAATACAAAATGAATCCACACGTAGGAAAAAGAAACAATACAGAAACCACTGAGGTTGCTAATAATAATGATGCCTATTTCCAAGGCAACTGAATACATTATGAGACCACTGAAGTGACTTTTAGTTACCTTGTTTAGTGCCTCTGTCTTGTGATGGAGAAACAGTGGCCCACCTGCAGTTGTCATCATTTCTATGACCTGACATCTTTCAAAACCATGGAAAGATCCAACTGACAATCAATTACTCTATACCTTAATAGTTACATTACTATTAGTAGTATAATATTAATCACTGATAATATTACTATTATTAAGAAAACCTGTGTGATAAAGTTGGTTTGGGCAATATGAATAATGCCTGTGTTAAACACTCTGTGGTGACCCGAGGCACCACATAAGCAGGGGACATTATTTAGCCAAGGTGTAATTGAATCTGTATAGTAATACAAAACTGATTTCTCTGGGATTTCCTCAGAGTTTTTTATAGGCCAGGATTATCTTTTTAGCCACATTACTGCAATCTCAGTCATGGCCCCAAGGCATTGCTATGACCCCTAGGCACTGCTGGATTCCAAAATGTCTTCTCAGTATTTAAAGAAAGATGAAATATTCTCACTATCCTCACTTCTGTCTGTGGCCCCATTATTTTTCCAGTTCCTTAAGTCTAAAGGCTTGAAGCCATCTGAGTAATCCTCTATCTCACACGTCCGTGTATTATTTTGGAACATCTTATACACACACAGTTTTCTATTTGTGAATCTAGGGGCACCCAACTCCTCTAGTTGAGCAAGTCAAAAGTCTAGGAGTCATCCTTGATATCTCTCTCCACCTTACTTCTCCCTTCACATACTCTATGCATGGAGCAAGTCCTATCAGTGTTACCCCCTAAAGGAATCTCTGAAAGCCAAGCACTGTGCTGCACCCCCAATGCGACCATCCAGTCCAAGCTCTCACCATCTTTCATGCAGACTTCAGCAGTGATTTCCAAACCGGTCTCCATTCATTCTGGTCTCCTCTCCACACTGCTTCTAAAGTAACCTTTGAAGATGCTAATCTGATCATGTCATATGTTTTGTTCATTTTTCCCTTTCTTTTCTTCACCAAGGGCTTTAAGGATTTTTCTAACATGTTCAAGTGCTTCCTATTAAAAAATCCCCCACAGATAATAATTATAAACTCTGGGCAAAACACTAAATAAAAGAGACTTAAGGCAGGTGAAAAGTGAACAAAAGTAGGCTTAGAACACTTGAAAGTTAACACATGAAAGAACAAAATGATGTTGGCTTTTTCTGTGTTTTTTTTTTTTAATGACTTGAAGCCTGAAAGAAAATGCCAGTCTGGTCCCAGCTATGGTTCTGATGGTAAACCCATAGGCTTGCTGGTTTGAAGAGCCCAAAGACAGGGTTTGGCAAAAGTACAGCTACTGAAATACAAAAGGGAAAGTTCCAGAAAGGAAAGAGCCAGAGAGACAGAGAGAGAGCCCTAAAATCTAACTATCATCTTTGTCCAGATATCTGGCAAATCTTGAATCATGTATACTAGGACGTACTCCAGACCTCCTGGTTGAGGCCAAAAGAACTGAAAATAGTTGTGTCCATCTGCAGGTAGACAGATTATAGTTTCAGTTTGGTCAGGTTAACTGCTTGCTTTAAAAAACAAAACCAAAAACAAAACCAACACTTTTCTGAGAAACACAGTTTCTACAATGGATCACTCACAATGGCTAGGATATTATTCAAAATTACTTGACATACAAAGGGAAACATGATTCATTCTTAAGAGAAAAGACAATCAATGGAGATTCATCCCTAGATGACCCTGATGCTGGAATTAAGCTTCAAGGATTTTAAAGCAACTAGTATAACTGTGCTCAAGAATATAATGAAAAATATGATAATAAAGATTGCTGTAATCCCAGCACTTTGGGAGGCTGAGGCGGTTGGATCACTTGAGGTCAGGAGTTTGAGACCAGCCTGGTCAACATGATGAAACCCTGTCTCTACTAAAAACACAAAAATTAGCCGTGTGTGGTGGCAGGCACCTGTAATCCCAGCTACTCGGGAGGCTGAGGCAGGAGAATCACTTGAATCTGGGAGGTGGAGATTGCAGTGAGCCGAGATTGTACCACTGCACTCCTGCCAGGGCAAAAGAGTGAGACCCCATCTCAAAAGAAAAAAAAAAAAACATTGAAAAGGCAGTACCTTTCTGCAGAGTAATAGAAACTATTTTTTGAAAGCCAAATGGTAATTCCAGAACTGAAAAATACAGTGTCTAAAATAACAAACTCAGTGGCTAGGCTTAACAGCAGAATGGACATGACTGAGAAAAGAGTTAGTAAATGCAAAAATACATCACTAGAAATTATCCAATCTAAGAACAGAAAAAAAAGAATTTTAAAAATAAACAAAGTGTGACCAGGCACAATGGTTCATGCCTGTAATCCTAGCACTTTGGGAGGCTCAGGTAGGAGGATGGTTTGAACCCAGGAACTCAAGACCAGCCTGGGCAACATAGGGAGATCCTGTCTCTACCACACACACACACAAAATGTTAAAATTAGCCAGGCATGGTACCATGTACCTGTAGTCCCAGCTACTCAGGAGGCTGAGGTGGGAGGATGACTTGAGCCTGGGAGGTCAAGGCTGCAGTGAGCCATGATTCTACCACTTTACTCCAGCCTGGGCAACAGAGCAAGACCCTGTCTCAAAAAAAAAAAAAAAAAAAAAAAAGACGTAAATAAAATAAAGTATCAGAGATTTGTGGAAAAATAAAACAAACGCAATTAGAGTTCCAAATATGGTGAAAGACAATTACAGATTCAAGGTTATAGCACATCAAGAAAAACTAATACAGGCTGGACATGGTGGCTCACACCTTTAATCCCAGCACTTTGGGAGGCCGAGGCAGGCAAATCACCTGAGGTCAGAAGTTCAAGACCAGCCTGGCCAACGTGGTGAAACCCCATCTCTACTAAAAATACAAAAATTAGTTGGGCATGGTGGCACACGCTTGTAATCCCAGCTACTCAGGAGGCTGAGGCAGGAGAATCACTTGAACCCAGGAGGCAGAAGTTGCAGTGAGCCAAGACTGTGCCACCACACTCCAGCCTGGACGACAGAGCGAGACTCTGTCTCCAATTTAAAAAAGAAAGAAAGAAAAACGAATACAAAGAATATATCCAGGCATATCATAGTCAAAATGATTGAGAGAAAATCTTGAATGCAGCCAGACTGAAACACCGTATATAGGAGAACAATAATTAGAATTACCACTGACCTCATCAGAAACAGTGGAGACCAGAAGGCAGTGCAACAATATATTGAAGAATAATAATTACAAAAACTTTCAACCAAGAGCTTCAAGGCCCTGTGCATAGCCTGTCCTCAGCCTTCACTCCAGCCTCATCCCACCCACTCTCCCTCCTACTCTCTGCATTGTAGTCACCAGGACCTTTGTAATTACTGTTCCCTCTGCTCAGCA